TGCCACATTGCCAATCTAGCAGCCATGTTTGTTAATCTCTTAGAAGAGATACAGCTAACCTTGAGTTTCCTATAAACCAAGACTTTTAGATATGGCTATGTGGTACTCAATCAGCCTATGGCATGCACATTTTCCTAAACTGAGGGTATAAATGTTTGTGAAGTTTCCCCTAGGTATGGAGCAGCCAAGTGCTCTTAGCAGAAATAGCTCCTACGCTTGCAGTTAGGTACCTAAGACTTCAAATAGCAAGGTCAAAGTTAGATTTAATGTTAATTTACCATAAGAGATGAATCCCAGCAGACACAACAGCTCATCGAGCATCTACATTATTTCCCCTCTTTATCTTCATCTTTTTCCATCGGAGGCAAAGAGGACAAAACTATTAGGAGATAGAATTTCTACTTAAAGAACCATTTTCTCTATTTCATTCTATTACCTTAGCTTTTTCAATATGTCCTGAAGAGGTCACCCAGGCCTGTTGTTTGTCTTGTGATTTGAGGCTCAACAAACTGCCAGGAGCCTTCAAGCAGAGACTGACATTTTATTTCTTCTGTTGTGCTCACCCCATATTCATCTGAGCACAGCTATTCAGGAGGGGTGTGTGGCATGGATCAGCGAGTGATGGTTTGACCTGAGCCTGGCTGGCTATGTACACTCCGACTGAAGAGCTGGGGGCTGAGGTTGCACAGCACAGCGTGCTGAAGTTATTTTCTTACTCCAAACTTTGTCTTTCCTACCTTAGTGTATATGTTTGAAATTTTTATTTATGTATGTGTATCAAATGAGTGCAGGTGCCATGGAGGCCACTGAGGTCTCAGATCATCTGGGGCTGAGTTACAGGTGTTTGTGAGCCATGATGTGCATGCTAAGAGCTGAACGTGGGTGCTCTGGAAGACCAGCAAGCTTGAGACCGTGGCTTCAATCTCCAGCATCCCAAAACAATGATAATAAGACTTAGGTGTGTGTGTGTGTGTGTGTGTGTGTGTGTGTGTGTGTGTGTGTGGTGTGAATTCTCTGGTTTGGTGGGGCATTTGCAAGCACTCTAAATCACTGAGCCATCTCTTTAGCCTTTGATTTTCTTTTTACCTGTTCATTTCTTTTATTTTGCTCTCTTGTCAGATAGTCAGGTCAGCACTGGGGCCTTTTGGCAACCTCTAACCTCCTGTGTGTTGTGACTGAGCCTATAGCTGTGGGATTTGGTCCTATGATGATGGCAGTAGTGACCTGACCACAATCTCAGTAGTTCTAGGTAGTGTTTCCTGAAAGGGAACCCACATTTAGAATCATTTTAGGAACTCCCTGTGTGTCAGGAGTCAGAATGTGACTCTCTGGACCAATGGCTTCTAGGAGCTCCCGGAGGCTCACTGCTCCATGGTAGAAGAGGTTGGCGGCGACAGACCCCTCCCCCACTGGACACTTGATCTTTGGAGTGTCTCTTCTATTTATTTTCCTCATCTTTCCACCCTAGTTTCTTTCTCACAAGCAGTTTCTTTTTCTGATCTCATTCTCTTGCTCAGTGACCCGCATGGCGGTCTCCAGATAGCACACTGCAGCCCCAAACACTACACTTCTAGTGGACAGAAATCATCAAGTAGGAGCCAGACAGAGGCTTTCAGCTTAACATGAAAACTTCTTCTCCCCTCTGCTCCCTTCCCCTGTCTTCCCATTTTCTCCCTTCCCATCTGTTGACACTCTAGGTAATGTAAGGATAATCCTCTTCTCCTTACATTACCTAGAGATTAAAACTATATCAGAACCGGTCATTTTGTTTCCTAAAAGGTGGTTGCATCCTTTAAGTTTCAAGCAGAGACACAGAACTAGTAGCATATACAGATCCTCCACGGAGGAACTCGCATGTTCAGTCATGGGCGCTGGCTAGGCAAGCCTGAAGTTGAGACTGTAGGCAGGCTATCAGGAGGAAGAGGCTAGGACTCCCAGACTTGGGGCTAGTCCACAGTGGAAGTAATCTTTCTCATCGGAGAAGCCTGAGCTCCAGTCTTAAAAGTCTTTTAGTAGATGGTCCCACCTGAATTATCTAGAACAGTCTCCCTTACTGCAAACCTTCAGTCCTGTCTGCAAAACACTACCACACCAACACCCTGGTGAATGTCAGGCTCAATAACTGGGCACTGTGGTCTAGACAGTGGGCACATGCATGTGCCCAACAGAGTACTCATTTGATGACTCCTAAAATACATACTTCGACATGCTATGAATTCCCAAACCTTTGTACTTTTACATGAGTTATATGAGGTAGTTAAAGAACTGTTTGGGACAGTTTATTCTTAATATATAAATAAAATAATAGGAGATCCTGGAATGACAACTTGGATGAGGTAGCAAGATTAGTCTATGACCTCTGATTTAGAAGTCATTGCTTTAAACTGTGTTTGCATTTTTCTTTCATCCATCAGTTTCCCTACCTTCCAGAATGTTCCTTGGATCTCTGTGCTTAGTGAGGCACCATTTTTGGCGCCTTTGCTAGTTCATGGGATTAAAGAGCTTGGGCACCTGTGGTTCTTATGTTTTGATAATCAAAAACAAGTACAAGATTTTATAGAGATGATAAGGTGTGGTGAATGATAAGGATAATAAAGGAAGGGGAGGGGAGAGACAGTGTGCATGTGTGTGCTCAGCTATCTACATAATGTGCAGGCTCCAGTGCAAAATGCAAATTCAGTGTCTCCTAATCAGAGCATAGGAAAAACACAAAGCTTTCTGCTTGGCTCACGAATCTCTTTATGAGAACGTCCTAGTGGTTTCTTAGCATTGTTTACTATTTAATTCTTCTCCAAGGAAGAAAAAAAGGACAGAAGCTTTAGATGACTGACCTGAGTTTCTGTGATGCTATGCTCACCTTCGGTGCAAAGATAGGAGTAGGGTAACAGCCCGTGCAGTTGACGTTTCTTAGTTGAGCCTGTGGTTTGCTTTTATTCAAGGGATGAAGGTGCTGCATGAGGCTGCCCTGCCCATTTGGATTTTATTTCTTGATAAATGCATATCATGCTTTGCCTTGGGCCAGGTAATGAGCAGGGAAGGACCACAGAGGGCAGTGACTGTGGTTGCTCCACCTCCCCTTTTCTTCCTCTGCTGTTATTGCGGTGTAGGCTGTTGCCAATATAATGAAGTGGTGCCAGCGAAAGCACAGGCGAGGACTCTTGATGGCTTGTGTTCCTTGAACACAGCTGACTTCACACTTGAAGACTTGAAGACAATTCTGACTCCTAAGGGTGGCTTCTTGGGCTGTCTGTATCTCTGCTTCCTTGGTCATAGGCTTATTATACTTATTATTGTTCTTATACTTTTTTTATACTCACCTTGACTCTTGATACATTCTAGGTACCTGGTCCCAACAGAATTCTTAGTCATGGGCCGTCACTGACCCAACCGATAAGCGAGGACTGAGGAGGTCCCTGTTATTACTGTTTTCTGAATGACCGTGCTCCACCCTGCCATGGGTGTCACTTGAAAAATATAAATCTAAAGATGCAGTTGTTAAGTATTTTGAAACAAGAATACTAACCCAAGCAAGAATTCCTGTGAGGGTGTGACTTTCTTGAGCATAGGGTTCTGTGTTTTCCAGCTTGCATGCCCATGAAGTTAGAGGTAGGTGTGTGTGTGTGTGTGTGTGTGTGTGTGTGTGTGTGTGTGTGTATACTGCTTGCAAGGACACATGGCAAAGGCTTGTATAAAAGTGAGGAAGCCAGCCTTCCAGATAGCTTGGGTGGAAGTACATGTTTAGAGGTTCCAGGACACACGTGTGTTTAGAGGTTCCAGGACACGCATGTCTCTGGTGTATTCTCAAACACTAAGGAGGCCGTGGTGGCTGGAACCATAATTGAAAGCCTGAAGGTGAGAGATGGAACCAGAGGGACGGTAGGTCTCTGAGTTATGAATAACTTTAGCAGCTAAATAAAGGCTTTTTTTTAAAAAAAAAATGAAGAAATGAGGATGCTTGGGAGAGTTTTAGTAAGGCATGGCATGCTATACCATAGATGAGGTTTAGAAGAATCTCTTTGGCTTCTGTGTGGTGATACTTTTATAGGGAGAATATTGGGAGTGAAAGAAACACTTTGGATGCCATGACAATGGTTTAAATGAAGCTAAAACCTGGGGTTGGATGGTTAGTTTTATTGCCAGTTTGACAGGATCTAAAGTCATCTGGGAGGAAGAAAGCTCAGCTGAAGAGGTGCCTCAACCATACTGGTCTGTGAGAAATGGCCTTGATTAATGAATGATTGATGTGGCTGGCATCATTCCGGGGGTAGCTGGACTTAACAAGTGATTAAGTCAGTAAGCAACATTCCTCTGTGGTTACTGCCTACAAATTTGTGTTCTGAGTTCCTGTCCTGACTTTCCCGAGTAACAGACCGTGAACTTTTTCCTCCCAGTGTTGCTTTTGGACGGAGCATTTTATCACAGCGACAGAAATGAAGCTAGAACACACGTACAGCAATGGTCAAATGCAGCCGCATTTGGAACGGTTTTCAAAACTGATGCACTGGGCTGCCTCTGAGTCCTGGGATCCTAGAGTCCTGGCTGGAGAGAACAGAGAAGAAGAGCCCACTGAGCAGAAAATTTCCCAAGGTCCTACAGATGGCTCAGGAGAGAGGGTACATAGGCTCTTCCATTGAACCCTTTATTGTCCTTCCCCGAGCATCCTTCCAGCAGATGCTGAATCTACACAGATCATGTCTCTAGGAATCCATACACATGATACCTTGGAAAATCTTTTCAGATGATCAAATCCCGGGTGAGGTGATGCCACCATGTACTTGTGTCTTCATGTCTCTACTGGGGACTGGCTGTTCTCCACAGCTTCATTTTAGCCCAGTCTTCACAGGATTTTGCCCACTCAATTGAGTAAATATCTCTTGACCTCACCTTCTACAACAAAATTATCAAGACAAAGCATTTGCTACTAAGTTTGACATGCAATTGAGTCAAGATACATATCCAAGTGATTTAACTCTCTTGGTTTGTTTCTCTGCATTTTTTAGCACTTCCAGACTATGCTGAAGTCTAAATTGAATGTCCTGACACTGAAAAAGGAACCTATGCCAGCGGTCATTTTCCATGAACCGGAAGCCATTGAGCTGTGTACCACCACACCGCTGATGAAGACGAGGACTCATAGTGGATGCAAGGTACCAGACATGGGGCCAACAGTGTTTCTCTTGGTGGGCTAGACACAAGCATGTGTAACATGAAGGTCTTGTTTCTCAGTGGTGTTCATGTTTCAAGAGCAAAAATATTGCATGACTAGCAAGCATATTGAGTGGTGTCAGTTTGAATTCACATCCTGGTTTTTCTCTCAATAATAGGAACATTCTTCATCATATGGGGGATACCCCTCAACCACATAGGTTTTAGTATGTGTAAAAAAATAGTATTCTTATTGTTTTTTCAGTGGTTGTAAGGAACTTTAATTTTCATAAGGGAAATTTTATTTTTTTAGATTGTTTTTCTGTGTGTGTGTGTGTCTATGTATGTGTGTGCATGTGTGCATGTAGATGCTCATGTAATTGGAAGAGCAAGCAGAGTCCAAAGAGCTGGACTTTCAGACAGTTATGAGCTTCTGGATATGGTCCTGGGACTCAAACTCCAGGCTTCTGCAAGAGCAGCAAGCATTCTTGAGCATTAAACCATCTCTCCTGTCCACAAGGGGTTTTGTCTCTCATGGTAGTTCCTCCTTTTGTATTTACAATGTGACTAAAACAATATCTTAATAATCTGAATAAAACATATCTTAAAGAATGAAAATACCCAACCCCAAACTAAAGCAAAACAATACTTGAAACTTCCCAAGTCTCCTTGGGGGTTATTTTGCATTTTTCTTTGCTTCCGCTCTCAGATTTTATACTAAATATTCATGCCTCAGAATCTGTTAAAAACAAAAGCACCCTTTTTCATTTATGCAACTACAACCCTGACATGGAAACGAAACTAGAAACAAAATTTCCAATTTTGGTAAATTTTAAGGTTTTTTCCCTCATATCCTATTTTATTTTGCTTGAGTTAGTGAATATAGAAATAAGTTTAGTGATAACAAAGAAAATATGTTTCATGCATATTTGCCCTCAGGAGCTTGTTTAGGGTGGAGAAAACATAACAAGGAGAAGGGGGAAATGCGCATTTGCTTATAATATCTTTTAAAAACCTCTTGGACCCACCCTCCTCCTTACTTCCTATTGGAGAAGCAGGTCAGGTTTCTTGTTGTTGCATAGTTGCGGTCAGGTTGGAACCTGCAGCAATCTGGGGTGACAGTCGTCGCAGAAACCCTCGCACATCCTTTCATTCCACGCATACTTACTGCCTGCTCAGAGCCTGCCAGGCTCAGGGGCAGAATGTGGACAAGAGCCACAACGTCTGTAGGAATTGTAGCTGCTCCTTGTGAGTCTAGGGGGAAGAGAACACACGTGCAGGCCATTGGCTGGTGAGAGCCAGCTTGTTAAGAGCTTCTGGGACACTCCCTTCGGGTAAAAAGAACAAGGAATGCTGAGTCTTCGAAGTGGATGTGGGCTTGTAGTCACTTTGAAGGGAAAGAAATAAGCCAGTGGATTCAGGAGGCTGAGGAAGATTTGAGCGGGGTGGTCAAGCTAAGCAGAGTTTTATGGCCATGCCAAGGAGTTTCGATATTGTTCTAATTGTAATAAGGATTTAGGCAAGTTAAGACTCCATTTTTAAAAGGGTGTCTTTGATAGGGTAACTCTCCTTTCCAAGAATAGTTGACTAGAGGGAGAGAATTATAAAATGGCCTTGGGTCTGTCATGTATAACACTGGTGAAGAGCCAAGGAACTAGAAAAATACTGACCTTTGGAAAGTAACTGGAAATAAGTTCATGTGCACCCTTTGGAAGATGTGCTCTTGTCATCTTGAGTTCCACTCCTGTTAGAGAAGATGATGACTTGAAGCACATGGGGTTGAATTTAAGGAGGACAGCTTCATTTGATGGAGTCCAAAGTGTGCGCTTAAAATGCAAGGGAGAGTTCAAAGAAGCTTCAGAATGAAAATGGTGTACTGGCATTGATCTTTTAATCCCATCACTCGGGATACAGAGGGAGGCGGATCTCTGAGAGTTCAATGCCAGCCTGGTCTACATGGTGAGTTCCAGGGCAGCCAGAGCTACATAGTGAAACCCTGGCTCAAAAACAAGACAAAGAAGCCATAGCAACCTCATCCAACTATAAAAGGGTGTGTGTGTGTGTGACAGGGAAACAGGGTAATAAGAAGTAGGGGGAAGAGGAGGGAGAGAGAGAAAGGGAGAGGGGAGACAGGAAGGAAGAAGAGAGGAGCGGTCATTTTCTAGGGGAATAAAGAAATCCATGAAAGCTTCATTTTTCTGGAGAGTGTATAGAGTTCAGTATTCATCTTTTCCCCACGTACATGTACTGCCCTCAAGCTGTTCTCATTTATTTTACTTCTGAAAAGATATTGGGGATCTAAGGATCTGGGGACATGGGGATCTAGCAAGATGAAAAGATAGTTCAGTGGTTACAGAACACTTACGTTTTTGTGGAGATCAGAATTAAGAGACCAGACTTAGGTTTTTGGTGCCCAATTCAGGTGGCGTACAACCACCTGTGATGCTGACTCTAGAGCAGTGTTTCTCAAACTGTGGGTCATGACTCCTCTGGGGGGATTGAATGATCCTTTCACAGGGGTTGCATAGCATATCAGATATCCTGCACAGCAGATATTTATATTATGATTCACGACAGTAGCAAATTACAGCTATGAAGTAGCAACAAAAACAATTTTATCATTGGGGTCATCCCAACATGAGGAACTGTATTAAAGGGTCGCAACATGTGGAAGGCTGAGAACCACTGCCCTAGGGGATCTGATGCCCTCTTCAGGCATCCACAGGGACCTTCACTCACAAATGCAATGCCCATTCATAGACACACACACACACACACACACACACACACACACACACACACGATTTTTAAAAAAGAGATTAAGAAGAAGACCGTAGGCAGAGGTGCTTGTACATTTCTGGTTGCTATTGATAGCTAGCTCTTATATCTTTGGTTAACCCATTTCTATTAATCTGTGTATTGCCACATGGCTTTGGTCTACTAGCAAGGCTCTAGCGCATCTGTCTGCAGTAGTGGCTACATGGCTTCTTATGACTCCACTTCCTTTCTTCCACCATTCAGTTTAGCTGCTCCTCCTCTCCCCCGCCCCATGCCTAGCATTACTCTCCCCTATCAAAGGCCAAAGCAGTTTGTTTATTCATTAACCAATAAAAGCAACACATATACAGAAGGACTTCCCACATCAGAAGAGGATTTAAGGTATGGATATTATGTGGTATGTGTACTGACAGTGTCCAGGTATCAGTGTGTTTGGCTAGCTGGACGAAGAGAAGTTAGCTGTGATTTCAGCTGAATCCAGGAGGAGTTTCTGTAGCCAAGGTGGAAGACATCCCATTAGACCATCAAAGAACTGTGTGAACTCTGCATCCTTAGAACTGGTGGTGATTCAAGGGATAGATACTGGCACTCCTAGAATCAGGGGTCAGGGCCTGCAGCTCTGCAGGTCCCTGAGCATTTCCGTTTTATCTGACCCTTCTGCCCTAAGGAAGAAAGCCCTTAACATGTGATTCTCAGACTGAACGCTATTGACTTATACCCCTAAATTTTAACTGGAAATATGCTGCTACTGCCTTTTTCTCCCCCCAATGACAATGCCATGCTTGTTTTCAAAGTCATATTCCTTTGTTTATTTTTTTAAAGGTTAGACCTTGGAAATTCTGACAATTCTGTTCAAAAATCCCCAAACCTCCCCCTGTCCCCCCCCCGGCCCCCAATCATCCTCAAGAACAGAGTCCACTGTTTCCTCTCTCTTTTTGCCAGTGAGTAACTCAACTCACAAGACGCCAGCTGCAGAAGGAGCTCTCTCTCAAACTCGTGAGTCCTAGGAATAATGAGCATAATGTAATGCTGGCCCAGCTGCAGGGCCAGGGTTTGGGACCCCCCCGTCTTTACACAGAACTGCTTCTTCTTCCCTAATAGCTCCCAAGATGAACTTGCATAACTTTTACTTTGGGAAGGAAAAGAGGCAGGAAGAATCAAACGAGAGGGGGAGTTGAGAATGGGTGAAGGTTAGCGTCATGAGACCCTCGCTCATCTTGGATAGCCTGATTCCCTCTGATCTGTATTCTCAGTGGGTCCTGGAGAGATTGCTCTGCCAGGCTATTCATGTTTCGGGCAGCTGGGTCTTTGTGTGTTCTCCTCTATTTCTGCCACTTTTTTTTTCCTTTAGTGGAGTTTTGTTTCTTTTTTCTTCTTTTCTTTCTTTTCCTTTCTTTTCCTTTTTTTCTTTTTTAACAAGATAGCCCATTGTAGGACTCCCACTGGAGGTGCTTTGAGCCTCCTAGGCTATGTGTAGTTCTGCAGCTGGGTAACTACTTGCTGTGCCTCTATCTTTGAGCCTCATAGGCTACGTGTGGTTCTGCAGCTGGGTAACTACTTGCTGTGCCTCTATCTTGCATGATGAGATTCTGGGTGTCTTCACCTTCTACCACACATTTGTTCAGTCAGCACACATTGAAAGTTCACTGAATGTGGGAGTCATGGAGAAAGGGATTGTAGGAAATGCAGTGTACAAACAAGCAGAGGAAATACGAGGGTCCAAGTAAGATAATCTCAAGTATGTTTTCTTTCCTGTTTAATTTCTTGATCCTCATGGTGTGGTTACTGTTTACTTTCTTATAGAGAATGTGTACACATATGTGTGTGCAATGCCTAGCATGCAGAAGTCAGAGAACAACTTCTTGGGAGTCAGTTTTCTCCTTTCTACCACATGAGTCTAGGGCTTGGAACCCAGGTTGTGTCCATCTTGGCAGCAGGTGTCATGACCTACTGAGCCATTTCAATATTCCAATCACAAGGACTTTTAGAAACGTGTGTGTATTTCAGAATTCCCAAGTTCTTTTTCCCAGGAACTAAGCTTTAGGGCTGGAGAGCAGAAGCTTGCCCTCTAGTCTACCATGAAATTTACCTGAAGGTGTGCTGTTTGGTGCTTGAGAATTTTGCCCACAGAGCGGTGTGACATGGGTAATATAAATGTAAGTAACCTGTGCACTGACTGACTGGCAAGTGACAAAGCAAGGATGAGACATCTAGGGTCTGGGAT